TGCCACCTTAACAAATAAAGAGCACTTTAACTAGCACCTGGGAAAACACACTGACAAATCTTATAATAATTAAACAATATAAAAAAGGTAAGCACCAGTCTAAAAATATATATACAATTCTTTTAGTAGAGTACAACATAGGCAAGCCAAATATAATTCACTCTGAAACGCAACCAGCTATCTGAACAACTGATTTCATGGAGATTTTACATGTGTATTTGGTCACAAAAAAGGTAAGCCTTCAACAGGCAGCGCTTCTATAAAACTTACTTTGTTCTGAACAGCTAGCCTACCTGGTACACCACAACACATCTGGAATACCCCAACACAACACTGCATGAAGATGTAGAAGGTACAATATAAATATTTGATCTAAATATAAAGTAAAAATTGGAAAATTGCCAAATACCCATTTCTCCCTGAGGCAGGGCAAAGTAATAAAACATGTAAGGAGTATCTACTCTAACTGGAGATAAAAATACACCAATATAAACGAAAATTACTCTAGTTCATTAGGGTCCCTGGGGCAACAGAATTCTGAAATTACCCTACTTCCACGTAAACTCAAAACCGATGAACAAAACCAAAACTACTACAGCTTTGATCTTCACTCAAGCCGCCTGTGTATTTTTAATCTTACTCAGAGTTTCTCTCTTCCATCATAAACCTTCATTCTGACCACGGAAGCAGTACCAAAAAATTCTTTATTCATGACAGTTTCAATATAACACCCCCCCCCTCAAATCTCTCATTAAGATACAGACAATTATAAAATTGCAAGATCTACAGAAGGACAAGAAAAAGGCCACCTGTTGGAAATATGTACACTGATCTATCTCTCTTTTTTTTTTTTACCTTCATTTCTAGAAGCACCATGAAGCTTCCCTCGCCAGCCTTTGATTTTTGTGAAATCATTTGTCTTTCCTGTCCTGGAAACAAAAGGAAATCCGGTATCTGGAAGATAAGAAAGCTAGCCTCAGTTTATGAGCCAAGCTTGATTGTATCAGTGTCCTAGCAAACTCTGCTTACTCCTTTTCAGAGACAGATGAGCAGCAGTAAATCAAAAGGCTGAATAAAGAGACTTGGTTTTTACTTTTTTTTAATTAACAGAGTACTCAACAAAGCCAAGCTTCCTGTAGAGTTCTGCTGTATAGCCATGCATCTGCTATCCCATACAAAAAACATCTTCTCCTGTATTTTCCGTTTTAGTCTCCTTACTAATGGTGGGAGCAGCTGATCCCAAAACTCAAACCAGGCAAATCAGCAAGTTGGTAGGCCAAAATGGAATAGGCAGGTTTTGAGCTGATACTACAGCCTCTCTCAGCAAGGAAAGTAATCTGAATTTCTTCCCTGAATTCAGCCAGTGACTTTTATAAGACCTGTAGAAACTTCATTTAACATTTGCTGTTCTGTCAAATTCAGCTGAGTATCAATTAGGGGTAGAGACAGGGAATAATCACAAAAGGCAAACAGCGACACCACTGTCAGGTTATCCATCAGCTCTGGGAGCTAATTTGGAATGTAAAAATACTAATAGGGAACCGTGTGGCTGTTTTACTTATTGCCAGGCTACAAATAATTGGATTTGACACTGACTGAGGTCTTCTGAATTGGATCTGCCTCTTTTGCAGTGTAAACAAAACTGAGATATCTGCCTCTTTACCAGCTCCCAAAAGCAGATTAAAAAAGACACAATAACCAGAATATCAAAGCAGGAGAAAGGTAAGTAGGAGAAAGATAAGCACCCCTATACTTTGCCCAACCAGTTGATTATTAAAAACAGTATCTACCAACAGTATTAGAATCATAGTCACATTATAATGAGAAAAGCACTTGTTTGAATACCAGAAAAGTTTTTTAAAAGCACAGCTGGTCAGCACTTTTGTAATAAATAATTATCATGAAGTTATAGGTTAGCCCCAAAGTGGTGCCTCAAGCTCTTCTTCTGGAAAGTTCTGATATTCAGCTATGCGAAAGACTTCTTTTTTTGCTTTGCATGTGAGTAACATCAGAAAAATGTAGATTGCTTAGGCTTTCTCCGAGCCATTTGAGAGTAGTTATTGTGTATGTTTACATTTAGAAAATCCAGCTCCAAAAGACAAAACACGCCCATATAAAGTAAGCTAGACAGATACTATTACTGGATCACAACCACTACAAAAATGAAGGCTACAGATTATCTGGCCAGAATTACTCAGGACTCCTTGGCCAGTAACCACATAATGACTTAAGGAAGTTCTCACATTTTGTCATTTTAATACTGCTTTAATCTCTTTAAGATCAAGTTCAACTAAATGGCTATTCCCTCCTCATGATCATTTATAATAAAAAGGTAATACTTGAGATTTCAGCAAATTCATATTCTACCCACCTGGGGAATTAGGATTGGTTCCTGGATAGCTCCACAAAGAGTAATTTGAGTAGGAAAGAGGAAGTTGCACACCCAAGTATTTCAAGTCAATGCTCATTGTTGGGTCCACAGAATTCAACTTCAGTCCCACTGCAAGAGGCAAGTATCAGAAAATGTCTCAATGCAGCAAAATGTTAGGAAAACGTAAGTCAATATATTTACTAAAAAATAAACCAGTAAGTTATCTACAGGCACTTCTAGCATTCACCCACTGTTTTAAGAGACCTGAAAAAGAAAATTAGCAACTATAACTGTTACTTATACTGGATTTGCAGCAGATATGAATTAAGGAGTATTTTAGGGAATGTGAAATAAAGAAAAAAATGGAATTACTTTCCATAGTTTTCTTGATTACTACTGAAGTTTCCACAGAAATTTATTAACCAAAGTGCCAGCACTGTAGTTCTCACAATAAAAGTTTTCATTTGTTCATTTTTTGAAGTAGTTAGCACCGTTTACATCCTTGAAGGCTAGAGTTACTGCCTGAACCAACTCAGCTGACTATTTGACATTTCATATCACTACATAAATCATCAATCCTGCCAACAGTACTTACACATCCCCTTCTCTACTGAAACTTATTCTTGTGCAAGAACACATACCACACACACTTCAGTTTCAACCAGCAATAAGAGACAAGAGCAAACCACATTCTAGCTCTGAAGAAGAGTGTGTGTGTGTTTGGAAATTACATAAACAAAGTTATACTCAGACAGCGCTCTCAGAACTAGTTCACCAAGTGATCCAGATCTCATTAGGTTATTTTTTTTCCCAGGCTTGGCATTTTGCAACAGAACACTTCTTTTTTTCCCCCCCTTCCTTTTTGAAGCAGGGGGGAAAAGGCTATAAAGAAACTAAATTTATGTTGTTGATGCCACCACAAATGTTTAAGTGCCTGTAACATCTTCCTGCATCAACTGCCCTAAAATACTCGCACTGAAGGACTTTACTTGGTCACAGGTCATCACAAAAGCTATCTTTATCCATGGCAAAACAAATATAGATACAGAAATACTGAGAAAAAAGAAGCTAGTGAATTTTACTTGGTACCTTTTTCAGAAAATAGTTACACGAACTAAAGAAATTACTGTTTACAATAAAATTTAGCTCACAGTCTGGAGTTGAGAACATCTATTTTGGTTTTTAGCTACAGAAACCTATGAGTGTTGCTCCTGTTGCCAACAAGTCTGAAATTCATATATTAAATATGTGAATTTTGAAATTGAAAATATATGACGGGACAAGGCTCAGGACACAAAGTAGTATTTGCACATACAGTAGAAACCTTGTGTTGGTCATACACATTTATGTTCTTAAGAGGCACCATATTGGCCTGATTACTGGCAGCCCAAAAAACAATCGACACAGAACAAATCTCAGACATGGATGTTTAAACAGATATCATTATCAAAGACAGTCTAGCAAGATATAATTTTCAAATCTACATAGGGAAAATGAACAGCAAGCAAGTCAATCCAGCATTTTGTATAAAAACATGTCAACTACCAAATGTCAAGATGCCATCCATTTCTTTTCAAACTCAAAATAAAATGTAAAGAGCACATAGTTTATTTTTTCTTGACACTCCAGTTGAATTATTCTGTCATCTTCACAAACAAGCCTAGCTTTGTCTAACACTCAAACAAAAATAAGAACATCACCCATACACAAAATTGATTGTTTCAGTTTAGGATCATGAAATAAAAACACCCAGACAAAAAAACAGAGGATGACTCCAACAAGTGTAACATAGAAGGAAAACAGACAGCCTAAAGAGTAAATGGTAACAGTAAGTGTATGTCAGTACAGGCATCACTGTACATTACACATAAACTATCATTTTTATTAATTTCTATCACCCCCAGTATTGCTAAATTTCAGTTGCTGTAATCAAATCGTAGCAAATAAAAAACCATCTCCTTCAGAACTTTCTCCTATCCATCAGGCAGCTGCTAAATCTGAAATACAATGCTTGACAACAGTGCTTTGATTTTCAGGTATTTAATAAGGGATTCAAATTAGCTCATATAGAAGAGGCATCTCATAGCATTCCAGTACTCCAGCATGAGCTGTCCTTGTAACATGCTTAAGCTGAATCCCCTCCTTTCTGAAGCATCTTCTTCCTGCAGTCCTGGTGCCTCTAAGATCAAGACAGCCTCAATCACCGTTTTCTTAACTTCACAAATCAACAACAATTATGGGGTTCAGGTACAGCTCCAACACATCATCAGTGAATCTCAAAAAGAAATTTAAGCCTCTCAACTACGTTGTTGAAAACCAAAAGCAGAGTTAACATTAAAATTGCCGCGTCCATTTCCCATACTGCAGTGAGAACAAAGCCAGTAAATTTCTACAAAATGGCTGAAAGCACATTTAGAAACATGCACTTCACATCTTCCAGACAGAAGGGAACCATGTCTCTTTGCCTGTTCTGTAGCAGATGTCAAGGAGGTATTAGTCATGATTTATGGCCAAGAAATTTTGGATAATAAGCATCAAAATCAAGAGGGCTAATGAGGCTGCACCAAGCTCCAGGATGCTACTTAGAGTCAGTATGTCTGAGAAAAGATATAGCTCTTAAATTTGGCCTAGAAGCACCCTTCATCCACCTTCTTATATCTTACTGATGATATTGTGGACAGAGAGAGAAGAAAAAACCCCAACAATCCCTCTCCCCATTAACATCACAGTGTTCCTTCCCCAATCTCAAGCCTGCAATGGAAGACAATAGAACTGTAACTTTTTTTTTGTAAGGTGAAGGTAATCTGAATAAAGACTGATTACAGTTCACGTGCAGCAGCTGAAGTCTAACAACAGAAGTGTATATATTGTAATCCACTTCACAGCCTGATCATATTACATCTGTATCTGTGCGTAGTAATGCTCTTGCCAGGAGTAATCTTCACATAGCTTCTTTTTCCTCTAAAAATTAGACAGGCGAGGGTCATTCTCTTCATTGATCAATTACAATTTCACCAATAAACAGGCTCAGCAGATTACCATTCAACACTGGAAACGATGGTCACATCGTCAGCTCTGATGCCTGTGTTAACGTCATCAGTCTCAGGATTAGTATTGCTGAAGACTCTCAACATCATTAATAGAGAAAACATTAAGTTCTGCTGTGTTTATCCTTGACTTTCTTCCATCTGACCACAGGATAATATTGTATATAAATGAGAGATCACAAGCGAGAAGTACCTTGCTTAGCCCTCTTACACAGCTAGTGAACCTGGATCTGCAGCGACTCAAAGAAACACGGACTCAAACACAGCAAATGTAGTCTTGGTTAAGTGTTTCTGAATCTCTAGCTCCTCTACTACCAGGAAATGGCTATTTTCTATGGAGGACTGAAGTCAACTCCATCTGCTCTCTACAAGGATCAACTCACTAGAAAACAGGCACAGCCTGAACTCTGAAGGCTCGGCATCTTCTGCAAAAGGCATACAGTGACATGCAGCCTCTTGCTCTGCTGTTGGGAGATTCAGGAGTCATCTTTTGCCTCCTCCATCTCTTCTAGTTTGTGAAAACAAAAACATCTTTATTGGCTGGCTGAAACTACTTTTAAAGCCTCTAAGAAAAAAAATGGGTCAGACGCCACAGATTCTCTCTCATTGCCACAAGTGGCAAGATGGAAACTGACAGTTTCACACAAATTTCCTTTCATACTCTCTCATTTGTAAATACACACCTGTACACTTTCCCACATTTGAAAAAAAATAAGCAAAATCAGATCCCAGCTGTATTGGGCATACACCGTATTACATTCAGGAGGAAATTATCAACTCAGTATGATTAAGTATAATATATAAGCAGGTGCAATAATATATACATTGCCCGCTTACCTTCCTGAAGACTAGGATGTATTACTTGCTTATGCCTCAAGGTCTTCAGCTCTTCCATCAATTCCTTTTCCAGTACTTGTATTCTTGCTTGACAATCTACTCAAAAAATAAAAAAGAGAACATATGAAAAACATTAACCATGAAAAAAATGGACTCAAATTATTAATTTTCCAGTGTGCCTTTACAAAGTCCCTTATTACAGGGAACAGCCACTTGCAAAAAAAATACAAAAATGTACCTGGATCATTTGTAGTCAACAAGGGAGCCTGAAGATTCTGTGACTCTTCTCCTCCAGGTCTATCAACAGTGTGAATGTCAAGAGCTTCCTACATACATAAATAGCCTTGAATAAGTGTAAGATACCTTAGAACACTGACTTAGATGCCAACCAGGCCATATCAAAATATCACTGAAATATTCAAAACATGAGATTGTTTAATAAACAAGTACTCATTCTTTCATACAGAACTCTAGATCCCACTATTTCTCCCCAAGCTGCTAAGCAGTATGAAAATGTTACAATTAACATAGGGACAAGATGATAAGAGATTTGGAAAGAGGCCATAAATTTCAAGACTTAGTTTAAAAGAAAATAAACCTTCAGCTTACAAGTACAAAGGGCTTAAAAATGAGACATTAGAAAAGGTTTTGAATTTTACTCAAAACAGCTAGGTTTTACCTTTGATGCAAAGGACACAAAGAGGACTCCATCAACGTCTTCAAGGTCCGGCTTAACATCCGGAAGGATACTCCCAGGCCCCAGAGGGGTGTTCTTGCCTGTTATTACAGTTTTGCCTATACCTTTAGGTGGTCGACCAGCCTTGGAAATTTTCAGTTTCCGTGGCCTTCCTCTTTTAGTTGTAACTGATGTTAGCGTGTTTTGATTGCTACCAGAGCCTTTCAGGGACATAGGATTCTTCAGTATGCCAGGCCTTTTTCTTCCACAGATCTCTTTAGCTGAAAAGTGACAACTTACTGAGCCCCTGAGATTAAAATTCGGTGATTTAGACAAAGCCCATTGAGCGTCTCTGATTGAAGAGTATTTCTGCGACATTTTAGTCCCAGAAGATTGTTTTTTCATAACTAACTCCTCAGCTACAGCGGCTGTGCCTGAGCAAGAGCCTTTGTGATTTTCAAAACACACAGGCAAGGAATCCAGTATTGAACTCAAAGAGGATTTATCCTTCTTGCAAGAGGAAAGCATGGTCTGTGGCAACTCAGATATCTTCACTGTGCTCTTTGTGACTGCACAAGGTTCCAAATAGACCACAGGCATCTTCCCACTATCCAGTTTTAACATTTTTGCTTTGGCAACACCTGAAGGTCCGGTTAGCACACGCTTCCTAGACCTGAATTCTCCATCAATTCCATCTGTTCCACTGCGTCTCATCAGGTGTTTTTGTAGGATGGGATCATCATCATCAGTGTTGGAATACTCATCAGTTTCTTCATCTGTGTCTTCCTGTTTCACACTTACTCCTTGTGTGCAAATATTTGACTCATAGTCATAGTCATCTACTGGTTCCTCTTTAATGACTACATTAAAGTGTCCATTTGGGTCCAACGGGGATGCCACACGGGAACTGCTTTCGTAACTGCTGGCAATGGGACTGGTGTGGGAGGAAGAGGACAAAAACAAAACACAACATGAGATCTTTATCAAGTATCTTCCTTTACCGAAATTCCATTCTCTCCCATAATCCCTGGTTATAATTATAAGAAACTTCCAAAATGCTCCAAGGCATGAGTCTGCTAAATAAGCTGTCATTTACAAACTTACATTTTTAGAAGCAAGCACTCCAAAAAAAAAAATTGCCATCATTAAAACAACCCAACTTCTTATCTGAAGGCAGCAGCACAATTTCCTTCCCTAGTAACATCAGGATGACATTTGCACTTTTTCCTATTTGAGACTCAGCATGAAATCATGCTATGTTACCATGTTTTAAGTGCTCAGAAGTGGCCTTAGTTTGCTGTGTATCTCATTAAGTCACCTTACTAAAGCCATTGTGCTCTCAAATAGGAAGCCAAGTTGAGTGCCTAATGCACTTCAATTTACACGATTTAACTAAAATCTTAGTTAAGTCATCCTGAAGCCACATACAGACAATATGTTGTTCTAACACCTACAGAATGTTAATATCCTATTGAATTATGCTCCATCTTTCACTAAGTCTGAGTATGAACCTAACCAGAATTTGACATATCATGTACTAGATACTGAAGACTGATGGTGCAGCCAGTTACACTCCGGTGATGGGCTTCTTTGAGGGACAGACACATCAGACAAAAAGTTGCAGTCAACAGTTTTGTTAAGCACGTCAGACGCTGGCTCCTCGTCATAAGAGGAAACGGCAAAAAAATTAAACCAGAAACTCATCTCCACAGCGAACCTCAGAAAATAACTCAGAACTTATTTACTAAACATATCAGATAGTATTCTGTTATTCCCTTTATATATGATACTATATATAATTTTAATTATGTTAAATTATTATTCAAATTGTTAACCTCATCTTATTAAAATGTTATCAGTAACAACAGTATTTGTTCATGTTAGTTAATGCTAGCATAATTTCAAATATAACTTAATTTTAATAACAATATATTTTATACAAAAGGAATATTGCTTTATATATTGTGCATATCTGTGTGTGCATGTGTATTTTTTTATTATTATTATTATCTTCAGCTGAACCCCCGGCTGGGGCTGAAGCAGGGGAAGATGTGGAGGAAGAGGCTGCTTCTGCCTCTTGTAGACCAAGGACATACTTAAGGGAGAAAAGCTGGGACACACTAGAGTCACAACATGGAGTTGGGAGTCTCCACCTCATGAAGAAAGACTGCAGTGTTAAAACAGGGAGCAGACAGTCAAAACACAGGTTTATACACTTACATATAAAATTCCTAAGAACAAGACAGAACCTATCTAGAAAACCTGCTCCAATTCAGAAGTAACCAGAATTAAGCTTGAAGCAAAAACCTGCCTTGTGAGGGAACTGCAGACAGCAGGAGAGTGGCATACCAGTCCTGTTTTGTCTACTGCCTTCTCTGACCAATGAGACTCCTATTAGAAAGTTTCTAGCTTTCCTTTAATTAAGAATGTCAAATGTAAGATTAAAAAGCCTTTCTTCTTCAGTGAGTTTACTGTGAAAGAAATTCTAAGACAATCAATCCACTTCTAGATTATGGGCCACTCAAAATCCTGTCACATTACAGCTAGAGCTTGATTCAATACAGCAGATCCACAATTAAAGTGAATGCTATTAAAGATGATCTGAGTCATCTGCTCCTCTATCTTAAAATTCTCTAAAATAAAGAGACAAAAAACCCTAATAAATTTGCTGGCCCGGAATAAAATTCTCATCCAAGTTCTAGTGTTTTCAGTTGGAAGCCCAGTAAAGCCTGGACTTCTCTAGCCATTTTCCTTTATCTATCACAAGATGTATACTCAAGCTAAGGATTACCTTTCTATTAGGGATCTGGACAGTATCCAAAACAACAAAACCCTACTCTAAAAATGAAATTTCTAGACACAAATGTTATTTTACTCCGCATATTGCTACCATAAGCCAGATGGTGACAAGAGTGAAGTATCACCCATCCGTGCGTACGTATGAGAAGATCAAGTATTTGCACGAAATGCAGAGCAACATTTTTAAATTCAGATGCAAATATCAACATTTCAAACATTAAAAAAGTTGGGGTTTAGCACTGATGTAATTTAATTTGGCCCTTAGTTTGTGAAGTTACATGCAACATAAGCAGTCACAGAAACTTCTCTTACTGTATTCTATGGGAACACAAATCATCCAAGTTTGTCCTCTCAAAATCCTCTGCTTAATCTGAGATCAGAGAAAAATGGTGAAATAATGTCTCAACTAGCTCCTTCTTTGCCTGATACAGAACAATGCTCAGATTTAAGCAAACTTATTTATACCCCAAGTAATGTATTCGGTAACCTCACAATAAAACAGTAAAAGCAGAGAAATAGTTTTCTTGTGTTCTGCCAAATTAAAAACCATTTAGCTGCTCATTTATTGAAAGTACTGATATACGCAGATTTTTTTAGGTAGATCGTTTTAAAATACATAAGAGGGGGAACCACCCAAACCGATTTCTTTTTGAATTAATCTAGCAATCTGTGGTGGAGGTTTGAAGGATGATCGCTTGCCTTCCCCTTCCAAAAGGAAGGCAAGGAGGGAAGTAAACTGTCAGACTAAACACAATACAACTAAATTAGACAAACAAGACTGTTTACAAGTCCCACAGTATTTGTAGTTCTGAAGCAGGATATTCAAAAGACCTTGGATGGGAGAAAGGGTACATTAGCCTGTAAGACTTAAGAACCAGTGAAGTTTGCTTGTGGTCCCCTCCATGCCCCCAACATCTGAGTGGTTCCAGGCATAAGCATTCCT